AGCTGTGAACAGTGTCTCAATGGAGTGCTTTGTTTTGAATCATCATGTAGGTCCTTTAAGTGGGACAGATGGGTCATGACAACTCTGCTGTTATTCCAAGCCCTGACAGGAAGATCCTGTGCTTGCTGAGAAGTGCACTTGACTCAGGCTTAATGGTTAAGTAAATATGAAACCCGGTGTTCAGGAAGGTGTTTGGAGAGAAGATGGGTCTGGTGCAATGTGCAGAGTCATCTCGGAGTTGCTGATGGAGTTGAGTGATGCATACGCGTACAGTGGGCTCATATGCCACTCCTGCCTGACAGCCTCCTGCTCCCAAACACAATCGGATGTCTGATCCTCCCAACGGCATGCCCCGTACTGCATTATGTCTCCAAAGAGAAGGATGAGCTCCCTTGGTGTGGACCTCTGACAGTATGCTGGATTCTCTTCCCTTGGGGAAACATCAGCTCCATTCACCCCAGCCTTTCTGCATTCAAGACAACGTGACCTTTATTGTGCCGTGCAGAGCAAACCTTTTCTCTTGCTGCGTTCAGCCAAACAGAAAGGGCTGCCTCCCTGGGAGTCAGCCGCTGCCTTGATGTGTTGAGGAAACACAGGGCTGACTTGGGGTGTTATGTGCTAACTTGCTGTCTTTTTTATTTGGTTCTTCTTTGCACTGGATTCCAGTTCAGGGGGCTTCCAACTTTTTGTCAAGTGGAGGGACCATGGGGAGCATGTGGGAGACAAGCATAATTGCACTGAGAGGACCTTGCCCTGGTCTTCCCTGCACTGGTGCAGCCCATCAAGATGACAAGTCAGTGTGTGCCAGGCTCCATCCTGAAGCAAGCAAACCCGTGGAACTTGTGGATTACCATAGTATCAGTCACGGGCTCAGGTCTTTTTGCACCAAATAATTGACTTTTGGTTTTTAGCTTTATTGTCCCTTCATCCCTCAGACCCTGAGCTGACAATGAACTCCATGCAGCCTGCATGTGCAAAACTCACAGCAGGATCATAACCATGGACTGTTCTCTTGGAACAGACTTTAATGGTAGTGGCAGTAGAGCCATTACCATTACTAAGAATAAGTATCCAGAAAAAAGGAGGAAATGGCTTGTTGGATTAGTTCTCAGTTTTGATCTTCTACAGGTTTAATCTTCACCACCGATCAGGGTGTATATATATGATTTTTACATAGTTTGCTAAAACTCCTTCATGTACTAAACCAGTGGTATTCAACCTCTGGTCCACGGACCCCTGGGGGTCCACAGACTATGTCTAAAGGGTCTGTGGAAGATAACTATAACCAATCAAAAGTATCTGAATACTAGGCCTGTGAGAGTCGGCAGTGATCCGATCCGGCTTTGGATCTGGCAACTTCGGATGGCCGTGATCCAATCCAGAGCTCTGTACCGGATTTCTGCCTTGATCCGGCTGGAGATCCAGCCATAGGGTATAATGGGGAATCAATGAAATATCTATAACTTTGTTGTTTTTTGGCCAGATTTGGATGAAATTTTCAGAGATATTAGACTCTGCAGGGAGCATGAAACCTGCCAAGTTTCGAGGAGATTGGTGCAGGGGTTTGGGGGGAACTGTACCCCAAATTCTTGAAAGCCAAACTCCTGTCACGGCTGTGTGTTACACCACAGGGGGTCGAAACTGCAGGGGCAGTAGCTCTTACTGAGGCCACAAAGCCTGCCAAGTTTCAAGGAGATCGGTGCAGGGGCTTGGGGGGAACTGCCCCTCAAGCTGCGGACAAGCAAAACTTGTGCCATGGGTGACACTGCGTGTGCTAAGGCGCAGCGGGGTGACAGCTGCAGGGATGGTGGCCCCTGCTGTGACACCTGCCAGCTGTGGAGGAGATCGGTGCAGGGGGGTTGTGGGGCCCTGCACCCCTAGCTGCTGACAGACAAAACTGTCTTGGGGCAGTTGATCGTCTGTATTGATTCTTTCCTCTCCTTAGCCTGGTGTTGTAGGTGCTAATTGATGCTTGTTAAGTCGTTATATAGTAGCTAGGTCCTGTGTATTGAGCTGGTTCCTGAGTCCCTGGTCCCTGAGTGAATCATGATTGATTGACAAGGTTCGTTGGGTGAATCTGATATTTTTTATTAGACCAACCCAAATAGTTGGAAAATGTCCTTAGACCAACACGGCTACAACCTACACCCCTGTATCATGATTGATCGGTAACTGGGAACACAGCAGCTTAGCAGCCAGGCCTGCAGCAGTGACTCCCCTCCCCGCCCCAAGACAGACAGTCAGCCCCACAAGCACCCATGGCACCAGTTTTGCTTGTCTGCAGCTTGAGGGGATCTTCTTGAAGCTTGGCAGGCTTTGTGGCCTCAGCAAGAGCTACCAGCCCTGCAGGTCTCACCCCGCTATGTTGTAATGCCTAGACGTGACATGAGTTTTGCTTTAAAGAATTTGGGGTGCTGTTCCCCCCCAAACCTGCACTGATCTTCTTGAAACTTGGCAGGTGTCATCCTCTCTGCAGAGTCTACCTCTGAAAATTTCATCCAAATCTAGCAAAAAACAACAAAGTTATCGATTTTTTTTTTTTTTTATTGTTTCCCCATTATACCCTAAGGCCGGATCTCCGAGGCAGCTCCGAACCACTTCGGGAAGTCGAACGAGGCAGTGCTTCGACCCGGATGTGCTGCTTCGGCCCCCGAAGCATCCGAAGCTTCTCTGGATCCGAAGCTCTGTCCGAAGCCTCGCACAGCCCTACTGAATACCCACACTGACAATTCAAAGGGTCCGCACCTCCATTCAAAATTGTTTAGGGGTCTGTAAATGAAAAAAAGGTGGAAAACCACTGCACTAAACACATAAATGTGTTCATCCATGTGATATGAGCCTTGCAGGGAATTTATTGTGTTAATACAATTTGGGATGAAGAAACTGCTGCCCCCTGCCTGGAGAAGAACAATTCATGCCATTTATCTATGAATTATTAAATGATGCAAAGAAAGAATATAATAAAAGTCTTCCTGCCTCCATTTGTCCCTATAAGCATATATTGTTTTTTACTTTATCAGTGAGGGCTTCCTGCCTTGCTTATATGCCTTTCTTTATAAATGCATGCAAACTACAGTGTTGCTAGGCAAGAGACTACAGTGTACAATAGTGAAATGATTTACAGTAATCGGGCCAGTAGCGATGTGGATTAGGCCTTTTACTATAGAGCATTGTATTACTTTTCTGGTATAAAGCTGGAACTCTCCCCTTTTAGAGGCTCATGAGAGCCAAAGCCTGGCAGGGTGGAGGCTGTGATGTCAGACCCATGTATTGGGTTAAATGTTTGACTGTTTGATTTGCTCTAAAAAACTTGAAAATGGCATCTCTAACCTGAACTGAAATTTGGACATTCACCAATGTTTCAAGGGGGGCAAGGACACCTGGATGAAGAGCACAGGATAGCACTTATTTGTAAGGTTCACTCTCTCTCACTGTTTCATCATGCCTGGAGCACCCATCATCATGACATCTGGGCTCCTTTATGAGGCTTATGTTGAGAAAATACTTATTTTAATGATGTAGTGGCTTCTTAACCTGGCTGGGGAAATACCACGTATTTGTGTTCCTGAAACGCCTCATAGGAGAACAGCTCTTCTGGCGTGGTTCAGTACCCACTGAGGTGCAGCGGCTTTAAGCCCAGTTTATGGAAATGGGAGTCCCCTCCCTTGCTTGCTCCGAGTACCTTATGGTTGAAGGCAAGCAAAACTTGGGGGCATCCGAACCCCACGCCTCCGGGCCTGGGCTGGCAAGTAGGACACCCGCCAAAGGTTTTGGAAACATCTGAAGCCCCAGGTGCAGGTGGAGGATGTTTGCTGGTAGCAGGGCTGCTTATGGTTCTGGACTCTTGGATTTGGAATCAGTTTTAGCTAATTTGGCCTGGGATACAAATTAAAAAACAAAACAAAAATCTGCCTAAGATCAGCCTCCAGCCCCTGGGGTACAGAAGCTTGTCACAGGGGGAGCATAAGGTAGGGAGCAGAAAGTGGAGCAGCGGATCAAACTGGCAGCATATGGTGGGGAGCAGAAAGCAGATCTGCAGAGCGGGCAGAGGAAGTGAATGGGGCGGGTATTTGGTACATCTGCAGAAAAGGTTGGCTCCCACTGCCTTGGGGGATCACTTGGGCACCGGGGGAGCCCAATTTGAAGCAACTCAGCCCCAGGCCTCCTAGCCACGGGGCACCCACTACTTCAGGGGGAAAGTACAGGTGCTGCGGCTCCGGAAATCAGGCCCTGGCTCTGGAAGGAGACGCCGCAGAATAAACCCCACCACATGAGAAGCCACTTCAGCATCACCTGCCATTACATTTCACTCTCACTCGGCGTTGCCAGGTCTTAAATATGAAATAATATTGGAAACTCAGACTCATCGTCTTTGCTGAAAAACGATCGTACACTGAAAAAATACGCAACTAAGTATGCAAATAAGTCTTCTTATGTACCTTATATTGTTCAGTTCACTAACTCACCAGTGAGTGAGAATTGGGTCATCAAAGTTGAAGCATTTCTTTATTTCGAGGCAAGCGGTCATAACAGGGATCCTGATTTTCTCCAACTAAAAAAACTCCCCAATTTTTGGATTTAAAAAAAGTAACACCACATCCACATTTTTCAGTGAGTAAAATGAAACATCACTATGTGTGTGTATGTGTGTACATATATATATGTATATATGTATGTGGATACATCTATATTAGTGGCGTTTCATTTTACTCAAGGAAAAATGTGGATTTAAGATTACTTTTTTAATCAGGGTCTCTGGTCATAAGAAAGTGCTGGCTGCGCGCCCCAAAATGAGTTAAGGCTCCCTGAGAGTAATCTGGGTTTTGCATATATGCTATATCAATCAGCTGCCTCAACAACGCTGGTACACGTTGCACACTTGTACTGTTACTGATTATACATGCTGCAAGAGTTGAAATCATCGTACAAATCCGGTAATTCTCCTCCACCTGGCACCACTGCTCACGCTTCCACTCAGGCGCCTGCGCAGAAGCCCCCCACGAGGTCTCGACCCGGAGGCGGGAAGGGCCTCGAGCCGTTCCGCTCAGGCACTTGACTAGGCACCTGGGCGGGCTCGGGGCCTTCCTTTCATCCGGAAGTGGATACGCTGCGCATGCTCCTTCCTTTCCAGCGCCCGGGCCAGCTGCTGCCGCCACGGTAAGGCCGGGCTCCGGCCGCGTCATCACCCCCCGCGCATCGCCGCCATCCTACCGCCCCCGGCCCCGCGTCGGCGCTCGGCAGCGGCCGGGCGGCCTACCCCAGGGGCCTGCAGGGATATGTCCCGGGGGCGGCTCTGGGGAGGGTGGGGACGGGGCCGGGAGCTAGGCCGCAGTGCGGGGCGGGAGGTTGGGAGGTGGGAACCGCTGGGGGTGGGCTCAGCGCGGCCTGCAAGGAGGGCCCTGGGGCCTGTGTTGGGCAGCAGGAGAGGCTAGGAGCCCCTGGGGGAAACAGGCTGGTGGTGAGGACCCAACCCCGCATTTGGGGCAGGAGGAGCAAGGCCGCGTTGTGCTGGGCCAGGGGGCAACAGGGGCTTCTGCTTCCGGGAGTCGTTTGCTGCCTCTGCACAGAAAGGGTGGAGAGACCTGGACCCTTCCCTCCTTGCCCAGAGGCAGAGCCTGAGCTCCTGCTCTGGAGGGCTTCTCTCTTGCCCTCTCTTTGTGGGCTAGGGGTGGCATTGGTGGCACCAGTTGACCCGGCTATGCGGGTGCTTCTCTTGCACTTTTCCCATTGAGAACATTTTTGTTGCTCAGTGACTTCAGGTGCATGGAAACCGAAGTACAAACATGTAACCCCACGTTGTTTAAACCTTCCCTTCCCGCCTGCGCGGGTTTAGTGCTGTCTGGGCCCTTTCGACTTAGCAGGAGTTGGGTATCTCTGTTTCATCCAGCCTGAAGCGTGGGGTGTCGATGTTCGCTGCGCTCCTTTGGTTTTCCTGATGCTCAGCTTTAGTGCTGTACAGACCCAACAAAAATGCTGTATTGGACTTTTGATCTCTGTCAGGTTAAAAGTGACATTTCGGAGGCTGTCATTATTTAAAAAATTGCTTCGTCTAGTACGGTGGGAAGGATGGGTTATGCCGGGAGCATTTCTTGGGAGCTTTTTTTCAGGGTTTAACATTCACGATGTGTATTGCTACAAAAATGACTGTAATTGCTCTAACGCATGCCTTTGTTTTGCTGTTGTCTGCTACCTGATAAAAGCCATAGCAGTTGTTTCCCTGTGTTGGGTTACAGAACACAGGTGAACTAAAATGGTCTTTCCTGCCTAGTGCAGGGGCTGGACCCGATGATCTTGCAAGGTCCCTTCCAATCTATGAAAAAAATGAAGCTTTACCTCTTCTGTCCTCCCTTTTGTTTCTGTGTTAAGCTTGCAGGAGCTGAGAAGAGCCAAAAATGTCACCAGAAGCATGTATCAGACTATCTGACAGTTGTCATAGAACACCATGATTCCAGAGCTGCTCTGTTTTTGTTAGAGCTTGATACTGGAGCACTTGAGCATCAGCTCTATAGAAACGTACATTTATCTTGACAGTGAAGTGCAGTAATGATTCCTTTAACTTTCAGTCTGGAAAAGGTGATAGTAACTTAGCAAACAAAACACTATAGGCCCGGTGTAGAATTGAGTGGCTTAAAAACAGCCCTTATTTATAGTAAACTAGCAGTAATGCATCTATTCTGTTAGATCCAACTAATCATTGTATTCTCTGCAGATGTTGATGCCCAAAAAGAACAGAATTGCCATCTACGAACTCCTTTTTAAGGAGGGAGTGATGGTGGCGAAGAAAGATGTCCACATGCCTAAGCACCCGGAGCTGGCGGACAAGAATGTGCCCAATCTCCATGTCATGAAAGCCATGCAGGTAGAGGAATTATGGGTGTAAAGTTTAATACTGAACTGTGGGCCAGCACAAAAGTTGCAGCTAGCTTATGTGAAGCTTGTTTCATATATTAGTGTAAATGCTGGCATTTCTTCTTCTGATGTTGAAGGAACAGCAGTTTCAGGGGATTATTTTTTCCCTTCTTCCAAGTTATAACGCTTCTGTTAACTTCGTCCATCATTCACAAACTGTTGCAAGTTGTTGTGTTGTTTAATATATAGTTTGATAGTCCTCTTTCTGAAACGGATTCCTTTTTTTAGCCTTTTCAGTCCATCTTGTATGGAATGTGAGCAGTTAATACATGGATGATACTATGGCTTAGCTTGTATAAATACACTTGAACTATTCTAGGGTTCAGTCTTCTATTTGTACCCTGTGAGCTACTGCAGTGTTATAGTCTGGTGCTTTTTTGCTGGTATTTAATGGAGATGTTAAATGATAGTTTCATAGTTTGTAGGGTCGGAAGGGATCTTGACAGACCATCAAGTCCGACCCCCTGCCATGGCAGGAAAGAGTATTGGGGTCAAATGACTCCAGCAAGGTGTTCATCTAGCTTCCTCTTAAAGACTCCCAGGGTGGGAGCCTGCACCACTTCGCTTGGAAGTTGGTTCCAGGTCCTAGCCGCCCTGACAGTGAAGTAGTGCCTCGTGATGTCTACTCTGAATCTACCCTCTGCCAGCTTGTGACCGTTATTTCTAGTCCCTCTTGGTAGTGCTCGGGGGAACAGGGACTCCCCCAATGCCTGCTGGTCCACCCTGACTAGTTTGTAAACGGCCACTAGATTTCCCCTCGGCCGTCTCTTGTGGAGGCTGAACAGGTTCAGGTCCCATAGCCTCTCCCTGTAGGGCCTGCCCTGCTGCCCCTGATCGTGCGGGTGGCCCTCCTCTGGACCCTCTCGATGCTGTCCACATCCCTCCTGAAGTGCAGTGTCCAGAACTGGATGCAGTACTCCAACTGCGGCCTGACCAGTGCCATGTAGAGGGGGAGGATCACCTCCTTGGACCTGCTTGAGATGCATCTGTGGATGCATGGCAAGGTGTGGTTGGCTTTCCTGACTGCGTCCCCACAGTCGGCCCATGTTCGTTTTGGCGTCAGTAATGATTCCAAGATCCCTTTCTGCCTCTGCACTGACAAGAAGGGAGTTCTTGTTGTGATGGGAGTTGATAGTTGTGATGAAATGCTCTGTAGTCTCCTTTTAGATGTCTGCAAAATGATTAATGAGTATTTCTCTTTTAGTCGCTGAAATCTCGTGGCTATGTGAAGGAGCAGTTTGCTTGGAGGCATTTCTACTGGTATCTGACCAATGAGGGCATCCAGTACTTGCGTGATTATCTCCATCTGCCCCCTGAGATTGTGCCTGCAACCTTGCGCCGCAGCCGCCCCGAGACTGGCAGACCACGGCCCAAAGGTAAGCAGCAGTTAAGAGAACTTCTGTGGCATAGCTGGGTGGCTGATAAATCTGTGGGGTAGAGGGTGGAACAGTATAATGGAGTACAGATTGCTAAATTTCCTCCTTTCATGGTAGATGCTTAGCTGAACACACTCTGTGACATTGGCCAAAGGGTGGTGAATGTGTTTAGGAGTAGAGAGATTACATTGCCTCTGTGTTTAATACTGACCTGACTGCTACTGAAATATTGTTTGCAATTCTGGTGTCAACAATTCAAGAAGGATGTTGGAAAAAATCAAGACTGTTCAGAAAAGAACCATGAGAATGATTAAGGGATTGGCCAAATTGCTTTCTTGGGGCACTTAAGGAGATGAATCGATTTAGCTGATGAGGGGGAAAGTTAGGGAGTGATTTGACTGGTCTAAAGTAGTACCTCTCTGGGCAGCGGGAACTTGCTTGCTCCAAGTCTAACGAGCTGCAGCTAGGAAAATTTTGGCCAGAAAAAAAGCCCCTAGTCTTTTTAAGTGTGAGGGTGACTTGTGGAACAACTTACCAGCTATTGCAGTGGAAATTTTAAAATCAAGATGGGCTGTTTTTTCCCTGAAGGTGCAATGGTTCAAGGAGGAAATCATTTAGGGAAGTTGTCTGACTTGGTAGAGTGGAGACCATGCTAAATGATGACAGCAGGCTCTTTTGAGCTCAAATTTGTTATTTGAACAGTCCTAATAGGTAACTGTGTGTGATGCCAACTGAAGGCATTTGAGGTGATTCCCTATCAGAACTGCATCCTTTTCACTATAGCATTTAATATCCTTTATCTAGTTTGCAGAGTTTTCCAACTTGGCCTCTTTCTCAAAGGACCATGTAGAGGATAATTCTCTTCCAGGACTCTTCCTTCAGGTCCAGAGAATTTTGTTTTCAGAATGTGACTTTAGAAAACAACTGGCTGCTGTCTTACTTTACAAAGTACCTGTTCATTGCTACTCTTAGCAAAGGGGCCCCTAACAATCATCCATATCATCAAAGTTTGGGGGCATAAATCTTGTTTCTCTTATTGTGCCTTGGACTTAGGAAGATAAGCTTCCATTTATAACACGGTCATCCTCAAAAGTTACAGGTGAAGGTTGTGGAGACACTGTAATCATTCCATATTATATTGGTTTTCTGCAAGGTTTTACATGCACTAGTCATCCTCTCTTCACTGCTTCCTTTAAATAGTCAAAATAGGTTGCTGAAGAGGTAACGTTATTTGGGTACTGATGATTATTAGGCAGAATAATTTGTCTTGTTAACAGGTTTTCTTGGCTTTAACTTTCTTTGCATTCTCTTAATGGTCCTACTTTCATGCTCTCACAGATGTGTGTACTATTATCTGTATGCTGTAAATTGCTTATGAGACATTCCCCCAAACTTGATTCCTCATTTGAGGTCTTGTATTTTTCTCACTGACTCAGCATGTGCTGGGAAGACACCATTTGTTCTTGGCAAATGATCTGTCTTAAACATCTTGTTGAGCCCATGGCTGCTGTGTTGGCGAACATACAACTTACTAGTTCTGTGGTGTCGAGGACATTCCATTTTGCACATTGCTTCCCTTCAATATTTTGTGATCAGCAGTGGCCAAAACTTTTGCATCAGCAGCAAAACAAATATGACAAATATGAAGAAATCTACACACGCGATGCTTCCCCCCACTTTAGTAATGTTATAGAGGCTGCTAATTCAGTTTCTTGTTGTCTTGCTCTTTCCAGGACTGCTTTACTTGATGGCTGCTTTCTTGGTTAGTCCATTGGCAACATGGAGGCTTTACCTGTGTATCTTAAATGGATAGGCAGTTTATTAATTACTTTTTATTGCTTGCTGTTTTTTCAAGGGATCCTGGTTTCCTCTGATTTTAAAAAAATCCCCAATTTTTGGTTTAAAAAATGTAACCCCAAATTCATATTTTTCCATGATTAAAATGAAACACCACTATATAGAGAGCTGTATGTTACTGGTGTTTCATTTAAATCATGGGAAAATGGATTTGTGGTTACTTTTTTTTTTTTTTAACTGAAAATTGGGATTTTTTTAAATTGGAGAAAACCAGGATCCCTGGGAATCGGTGCCAAGCTGTATATTTACTAAAACCTAGGGCAGTTGGCTGATGTTGTTTGCGTCTGTCTGACCCTGTCCTTTAGCTCTCAGAGTTTTAACTTGCTCAACAAATTCACATTAATGGGGTTTGCTATTACAGTGGTTCCTGGCTTCCTTTTCAGAGGCAAAAGTAGAATTATGCATAGGGATGTCTTCACAGAAATGTTTATCAAGCAAACTGGAACTAACAGAATGTACAAAGAAGGTCCTTTGTAGAGGTCATCCATAAATGTAAAATGTGTTTTGGTTCCCACAAACCACTAAAATCCTGTAGTGCATGTGCTTCAAGTGCTGGCTTGTTCTAATATGATCCAGTTTTTAAGTGTAGTAATTAGTGCTCGCTCCTTCCCTTTCTTTTGCATTCGTTTTCATTGGAGGTCTAAGAATAAACTTCTGGGTCACTTCGGTATCTTTTGCATGACGTACTGTGCAAAGGTAAATTACAAACTCATCATAGATGGGATCAAGCAGCACTTTACAGTAGCCCTCAGCTTCTTCGCACCGTTGTGCACAAGGTTAAAAGAACCCCTCTGTTTCTTATGCTGTTGTAGAAATTGTGCATAAGTAAATAACAATACGTAATAAGTCAAAATCTTGCATTATATAACACTAGAACAGTTATTAAAAACCAAAAACAGTTACTTTACTTGCTTGCTTTATGTAACTGAAAGTACTTGGTTCATCTTGTTCACTCTGTTTTCCCTATGATACACAATAACAAGTGGAGAGCTTTTCTCCCTCCTTAAATTTGTAAATCTCAAGTTGTCCAGAGGGAATTGAGGCAGGTGTAGCTATTTTAAATGCCTTTTAAGCTAACTAGATTTCAAGCTGATGTCTCTCGACTCGCTTTATCCTTGTAAGTGAATTCCTTCAGGGGCCTTCAGCACAACTTCAAGATTATGCAAAATCTTCAAGTCACTTAATGGGCATTTTAGGCTTACATGTCATAGACCTGCTGCTTTTTTCCACAGGAAAGTGTTGTACGTTTCCTGGAACATCAGGGTCACTAGAGGCAAAGATTTTTTTTTTGTCTTATTAGACCAACTGTATAGTTGGGAGAGTTATTGGACAACCTGGGGAAGGACATTTGCCCAAATACATGTCTAGTAACTCGCCAAGTATACAGTTGCTCCAGTTAAAGACATGACAAAATTCTTGCCTCTTATAATGTGTGCCAGCGTAGGACATCTGGAACGTCTTTCTGTCAGTTGCAGTTTGTTCAGTTCTCTGTCTTGTCATTGTTTGAGTGTGTTTTATTGTTGGGTCAGTCTGTCTTACAGGGGTTTTGCCTTCTCAGGTGCTGTGACTCAAGTTGAGTGCATATGGGCAGTACATTTCTAGTAAAATTTGCTTAAGCTTCCTCTAGGGAGCAATTGGCTAGTGCCCTTCATTACAGCCACGACATGTAAAATACAGAGTTCTTAAGTACACTGTCCAACACTTTTCTGTCATGGTTTCTTGTTCAGGGCATCAGGTACTTTTAGATGTGTTACTTCTGATCCAGATGGTTTTTTAGATGTCTAGATTATTTGCAGCATTTGTAAATGTACATATAATTGGGAAGTTAGCTTTGCAGGCCAGGGCTTGAATGAAGTCACCCCTAGCTAAGAGTCAGCGTCATAGTGCTCATGATATTCTTGTATAATGTGTCTTCCCAAGTATAGTTTGATCTTCTCTGAGGAGGAAGATGCAGCATAGATCAGGTTTGTAGGGTGCTGCCTTGATCTTATATCTATAGGGATGAAACTCCTTGTAAATGGTTAGAATAGTCTGTCTAACCATAAATATTAGCTTTTTCCATGAAATCTTCCAGAGAGGAGCGAACTTTTCAGAAGAGCAGAGCAAAGCAGGAAGCTCTGCATCTTGTATTGTGCTTGGAACTGCCAGTTTGTGGTAAACCGTTCAACCATTAGCCCTTCTTCCTGACTTTACTGGTGAAGTGGTACCACTGGGGTCAGGACCTGTGGGAGACATTCATCTTTGTGCAGCTTGTATGATAGCGTTTCCCCCAAAGCTTCAGAGACTGGTATTTCCACAGCTCTACTTTTTCCCTGAAAGTATCCTCTAATTTAGCTTAAATGTTCTTTATATTCACTAACTCCATTGGGGGGGCGGCACAAACTTAAGGTATTTTATGTTGCCTGTCCAGAACCACGTGTTTGGAGCTGTGGAGAGTCTGAGGCTTTGGGTTAACTGTGGGCTTGTCAGGATGATAAATACCTGTAATTGAGTTAGGTGTTCTTTGGATCACAGTTGCCAACATCAGTCCTTGTTTGGAACAAGTGTAACAGTTGCCCTGATGGACCTGCACAATGTAGTTGAAATCAGTAGTTTAAATCCAGCTTTTTCCTCCCAGTTTTTATATTTTAGGTCTTCTTGCATTGGACTAAACCTTTGGTAAACCAATAGTTGCATCTAAATCCTATAATTGCAGAAGGTTTATATTACATCAGGTGTCTTCTTTTTAGTTTAGATTTAAATTGTTCTCATGCTAGTGTGTTTTAACAGACCAACTAAGTGTAGCCATGATGTAGAAGTGTATTTGCCCTACCATCTTTAGACAGAGAAGGTGTGAGCATAATTCAGTATACATGGGATTTGTTGGATTAACAGTGCCATTCTGACTTGCAGGTCTGGAGGGTGAGCGTCCTGCTCGTCTTACTCGGGGAGAAGCTGACAGAGATACCTACAGACGCAGTGCTGCTCCACGTAAGTATTCATTGTGTTGGGGTCTGAGTGAATTAGGCTGAGCTCGTCATGAGTACAGATGCTATCTGTTCAGTTTCAGTTTCTTTTATGAGGAAGGGAAACGGGGCTTGAATAATTTGACACGAAACAGTGTTCTTGGTGGTGATGGAGCTTTGAAAGCTCAGTTTGCCTCGTGGAGTTGGGTTGTCTAGTTAGCAGATTGCCTACTGCTGTAATTGATGTAATGCTTCCTATAACTGTAAGTTACAGACAGATACCTGATGCTGTAAAGGGTACCAGCATGGGGTTGGGACATTTGATACTACTAAAGAGAGAACCTCCCAATGACTTTGGCATCATAGTCCAGGGAGTGGATCCTCTGCTTTTGTAGTGGGATTGAACGCTCTCCTTTTTTTTTTCTCTTCAGTTGGTTCTGACAAAAAGGCTGAGGCTGGTGCTGGAGCAGCGACCGAATTTCAGTTCGTAAGTACTGACATCTTGAAACACGTTTCCTAAGCTAGGGCTTGAGGGAAAGCTTACAGCAGGGCTCAGTCTGGAGGAGATGGCATTCTGAGGGCTACTGCCTGATGTCCGTCACACCACTTGTTAAACTGCTGGCATATTTTCTGCTGCAATAATACCGAACACTTCCTGTGTTTGCTGCTAGTTGATCCCCTGTTAGGCCAGCCAGTAGTACTGTTGTCAGATTTCTGTATGCTGCCTTTGTCCAGGTTACTACCTGGATAGGAGACCTTCAGGGAACACATCCGGGTCCTATACAAAATGATGCTGGTTGGTCAGTCAGTACGAAGTACAGAGTCCCAGCATAACTCTTTTAGAGAAGAGTTAAAAATGAAGCCATGATTCCATGGGATTTAATCTTCCCGTTGCATCCTTAGAAAATCAGGGGTGTTAACCTCAGTGCCATGACTGCATTACACAGGCTTAAAGCTTTAATGCTTATGAAGCACTTGGATCTCCTGGTGAAAGTTGCTGTTTCACACTTTTTTGTGGCAGTCTTGCATATGACTTCCAAGCTAACTAGAAAGAGTTGGGTTTAAGATCGAGCCTGTCATTCTCTGTGTTAACAGGCCTTGGACACAACAAGAGTTGTACTTTGACAACTGAAAGTTGTACCACAAAAAACCCAAATGGTAGTTAGCTTCACAAAGGGGTTACTGGCTAGTTTCATCTCCTGAAGGCAGACAAGAGTAGTGTTGTTCCCTTATGACTTAAATAGCCCAAAGATGGGAAAAGTGTGTGTAGGGGGTGGAAAGCAATGCATGTGCAATGTGCTCTGCATTTGGGTTGCCAGCACATTTGCTACTTGGATTTCTGATATGACTAGACTTCTAATACTGTCTCTTTCTTCTGCAGAGAGGCGGATTTGGTCGTGGACGTGGTCAGCCTCCTCAGTAGAACTCTTTGGCCATGTATTTTTGTGTATAATAAAATAGGTGAAAAAAATCTCACCCTCCTTGCATCCTTGTATCATTTAAAAATATGGAAATTAATGTCCTAGTAACAGCAGTAACTTGGACCACTAAAGCTGAGGTTGCAGATTTAACTGATTTAAAAAAAAAATAGATAATGGAGGGTAGACTTGGTCACAGGAAATGTATTTAGCTTCTCAGCATTGCTGGGATAGGTTATGATGGCTGCTGTTGGTTTTGGCTGGGGCGATTGAGAAGATTCTTCTTGGAGAACAGTAGGAGGTGTTTGGTTTCATGGAAGTTTGAAACTGCTTCCTGTCTTCTAGGTTTCCACTAAGAGGATGCCTTAGATGAGTACCTGCTCAAAGGGGGATCCCTTTTGAATCTGAAGTGGAGGTCTGGTTGTATCTCCAGAATTTTGGCTTGCATTATGCAATATTGAGATTTGTGAAGCAGCTGGAATACACAGAGCATGTCTTGTGAAACTGGTGTAACTTCATCTAAAAGGTTAGAGGGCCCAACTGTTATTGGCTATTGATAGGGTGTGCTTGTTTGGCCTGGCTTGCCATACTTCCAGAAGAATCTGTCAGTGAAATAAAACATGAAATACTGCATTTTTTTGGACCTGCTCCTTCAAATAGAAATTATACAGTTGACACATTCTTCACTAGTTCAGTTCCTAACATGAGTCCCTGCTTGCAGTAGAGCAGGGGGTCACTACCTTGGATCTCTTGATGCTGCTTGGAAGAAACAGGAGAGATCAAGTTCTCCTAGGTTTTTGTGCCAGATGCAAATAGGCAGGCAGGCACCCATTTCATCAAGGTCATTTGACATGGGCAATACAGGATGTTCTCTTAATTATGTAAGGTCAACTTCTAGTTGTTATCTAGAAGTTGCTGCTCAGCCTCTCCTGGCTATGTCTGTATTTGCCCAGCTTCACTTAAACTCTGACTTGTGAGCTCTGGATTACGTCAGTTCAGTACTGTGAACAGCAGCAAATTTTTTGGCAGAGGAAAACTTTCTTGTTTTTATTGAATCAAATACAAATAATGCAATCAATACCATGTTTCTTGTATTTTATACTTCCCCGAGAGATTTCCTCTGAAGTGTGCTGCAAAATGTGTTTCTACACATTCAACAATGGTAAGCTTCCAAAGTGCAAAGCCAAGCAAAAGGCAACAGCCGCATTTCATAAAGCCAGAGCCATCATGATCGTGATTTTGCAGATTAAGCAAATAATTGTAAGTGTCTCTGTTAAACCAGTTTTGAGTTGAACATTGAGGTTATGGAGGGAACCAAAATTCCTGTGTTATGCTATGGTTGCTGTTTGAGCTCAAGCACCTTTCAAGAGTTTACAATAAGCACCATTGTTTAAGGATGTGCTACTGCCTAGATTTAATCTAACAGTTTGGACAACCTGACTATTGAAGTGAAGCCTGTGCAATATACAGTCACACCGCTAGATGTCATCCTAATGCAGGATTTAGGATAAAATGCTAACCTGGAATGGCTTTATGATGGCATGATTACTGTAGGGTGGGATAAGCATTCCAAAAGTGTTAAATGCTAACATGAATTTGTAGAATAACCCTAATGAAGTGGCATACAACAGATCTAGGTTCACTAGTTGATCTGAATTGCTATGCCAATGCCTACCATGCTGCTGTGATGCCATGTCCCTTGCATGTGTTAACTAGACGGGTATATACCCATATTTTACTTGAATTTAAGTAGGTAGATTTATATTTTGATTTTTTTTGCCTATTCATGTGTGGTCTGGTTCATTATAAATGTGTGTGTCGTCTGTCCCCGCCCCGTTGAAATTGAGGTTCTGGTATCTGGAATTCAACTTTAGTAGAATGCAACTTCAGCAACTGATGTACTCCTACATTTTCAGAGAAAATGTTTGTCTCCTCGTTGGCTACCTATTCTGCCTTGAACTGCTGTTGGACCATTTTCAAGGTATTCTAACCAGAAACCTTGACCTGTGTTGCTAAATTTCTCTCTATGAAAAATCCCAGTACACACGAACAATTTTAAGTTAACTAAATTGAGGCTGATCAGAAATAAGAGTACAGAAATAAAAGAGATATTTGGTACTTTTGCATGAGAAATCTTAACTCTAGATTAGCATGTTGTCAGCTACCTCTTCCAGCCTTTCTCCTACTAACAAGCATGAGCCTCTCTTGGGCCGAAGGCATTTAATTTGACAGTTGTTAAACAACTGTCAGTTATTTGATCATGGGTCAGTGGCTGGAATGAAATGGGGATTAAGCCAGTTCAGTCCTTCGGGGTTATCACAATGGAACTCAGCAATTTGAGAGGTAGGGGCACCCTTTTGAGCTTCCAGCTCAAGGGACCTGTTAGGTCTCTAATAGTAGCCTCTGCCCCCCACTAACAGTTGTCCAAATGTGTTACACAGTGGTCTTTGTGCATCTACAATTGTGAATTGCTTTGGTAGAGATGGAGCTGTGTATTGCAAATTGTTTCACACTGGCTTGAGTTGTCCTCAGCCATCGTGACCAACCTGACTTAAAGGCAACCAACCTCAGTTTCAAATCGCCCTGACCAGTTAAGCACATGATAGTTAATCCTAGCCTAGTATTGAAAGGATGAATGTTAATGGAAATTCAGCAGAGGTTGTTTATGCATTGAAGTAAGAGGTAGAGAACCTGAAACGTTCATATGTGCAAGTATAGATGGCCTTTTGTAGGGGAAGAACACTAGCACTTACTCTTGGAAGGAAACGCTGATGTTCTTAGTTGGGTAAAGAAGTGTGTCGTTTTTAATTCTAAACTAGTGCTCATCTCATGATCTGCTACTTGGAAGAGGAGAAGCACTGCCAAATCTGGAATGCAGGATTGAAGTAGGTGATTTCCATGATCGCTGGATAGTGAGACAGACATTAAGTGTAAACCTGGACTACTCTGTGACATTGCATCACTGCCAACCGATGCTTCTGTTCCACCTGAGAGAAGGTGCTGGAGCCCTTTCTGAATGGATGCAACCCAAAGAGTTAAGAAATGGCACCTCCACTAGTCACCACTTTGCAGGCAGCCTACAAACATTGCTCACAGATGGGATGAGTAAGCAAGGAAAAAGAAAGATTGCTTTGTTTGCTTTTTAATAGTCTTGACTATAGATGTAGAGTGAACTGGGACATAAGATATAAACTGTAGGAACAGAAGTTGGCAGAGAAAACAACAGCCCTATCTGTTTTTTCACACGTGACCAGTCGACTACCACCGTGATCTCTTGCCATTTGGTCTAGATCAGCTAGCTGAAATCAAGCACTACAGGTTGGGTTGCTGTGGAAAGCATTGTAAGACCTTTGCAGCTGTATGCCAGTAAGTAGCTGCTTGGGTCTATAGGCTTGTCAGCTCTGGGGTTCCCCACTGTTGCTTTTGCATGGCATCACACATAAGGTAACTATTAGGTTTTATTATTGCTGGTCAGCTTGGAAAGGTCCATCCTGTTTCATCAAATCATGACCTGACCTCACTTAGGCGCACCTTTATTGCTTCCTGTAATTGCTGATGGGCAGTTTGCTGAAGCAACTTGGGGGGGGGTGTGTGTCTGCAATACCTTAACATTTGCCCATTTATTTCAATGCTAGCTTCTCCCAGAAAGTTACATGGAGGTGGAAGGGAGGTTACAAACTAGAGGCTTCCTGTGTACAAAAGCTGAGACTACTGCTCTTACTGTAGTCAATGGTTGTGAAGAACCACTTGCCTGGGGCTCTCAGCCAGCCACTCTATTTGAAAATTGGACCTCTGCTATTTAGTTTCTTCAATAAAAGTTGGAGACGAATTCCTGGAAAGCTGCTTCAGGCTTAATACCTTGAAAAACTCCTTCACAATCCTTGCAGGCATTGCCCCAGAGTCCGCGGGCAACAACTCAACCTGCGTCCCAACAGGGGCAGAGAGCGGATGCTGAAATAGCGACCCGGGTCGGATCCGGGTTGTTTTTCCCTCCACCGTTGACGGTCAAGGGTAGCGGATCCCAAACTGGGCGTCGGGACCCCATGCACGGTTGCAACATCAGCAGATGCGGTTGCAGGGCGAGGAGCGGGGGGTTCTGCTGAGGAAACGGCATCACGCAGAGGGAAATTTTGGGAAGCATGAGGCAAGGGAGTGCCTGCTGCCCATCTTCTCCACCAACACATCTTCCTTGCTCTGTTCTGAGGGTTGAAAAACCCATAGCGGGGTGCACGCAAAACTGCGGCGGCCAGGAGCGTTTAGCTCCTGCCCTGAGCGAAGCAGCAGGCTGGTGGGGGGCCCTCCTGCCCACCTGCAGCACCAGCGCGGCCGGGGCCGGGGCCGGGGCCGGGGCCGGGGCTGCGGCCGCACTGACAAAGCCCCGGCGGGACGCGCGTCGCCTCCACCCGGCAACCGCCTCCTCCCCACGCTACTCGCGCAGCA